TGATACTCTTATAAGGTGTTTGGTGTTCAAGGTTCTTTATATGTTTACACAACTCCTTTATTCAGTCACACACATTCACACTGATGGCCGTCACTCCACTCATCACACACACATTCATGGGTTTTGTATAGACTCTGCATTTTGCCACATTGGTCATCTTCAATTGTAAACCTGAAATGTAAACATCATTACCAAATGGTAAACATAACTGTGTTTTTAAACTCTGCATTACTCTGGTTCTTGCTACTGTGGGGGTGTACGTAAGTAAGGTTTGACACATCTGGAAGGAACCCATTTCAGTTCTTTTCCTGTAGATACACATGCATAACCCCTCCTGCATGTCACAAGATCTACCAGTCCTGTCCACTGTCCCGAAATTAGATCCTTTATCATGACTGGTGGTTTGGGAGAGGAAAAAGCTTGAGGTCCATGTTGCCTTTCGTGCCTGCTTTTTTCAGCACCATCACAATTTAAAAAATTTATGATGTATGTGGCTTTCCACACATGCTCTTGTGGGGTACAGATGGATTCCCCCTTCTTTTGTTTAGCTAACGTCTTTTAGGGTGCAATGTGCCCTTTTTACTATGGCCTGCCCTGTAGGTGAGTGTGGAATGCCTGTAGTGTGAGAAATTCCCCAATTTGACAGGAAGATTTTTACCTTTTCTCATATATACGCAGGTCCATTATCGTTTTTGACTTGTTTTGGGGTACCTAGTGTTGTAAAACAGCTGAGCCAGTGCCTTATCACATCTTTTGCCTTTTCCCCCGTGTGTGCAGTGGCAGTGATGTATTTTGAGTGTGTGTCAACTGTGACATGTACATATTTTAATGGCCCGAACTTAGGTATGTGTGTTACATCTGTTTGCCATATCTCATTTGCCATTAATCTTCTGGGGTTAACTCCTTCCTGAGATGGCATGAGAGTTATTTGTTGGCAATCTGGGCATGACATGACTATGTTTCGAGCTTGATTGAGTGTGATTTGAAATTGTCTCTTCAGTGAACACGCATTCTGATGAAAAAATGAATGAGACAATTTCACTTGCTCTAAGACTCTGGGCACAGTGTTAAACATAGCTGCTGCATCCGCCCTCTGGTTCCCCCCTGCTATGGGCCATGGCATTTCTGTGTGTGATCTTATGCGCATGATGTAAAAGTCAAACTTCCTGTGGTTAACAAGGAACCAAGCAGAACACATTTCAAACAACAAGTGAGGGTTTGCAACATCTCAAAGGAATGAACTTTCGAGATGGGATACTAAGCTTGCTGCATAACAAGAATCTGTGACAACATTAACAGGTTGCTCTGAAAACCTTTCCAAGGCAATACAGATAACAGCCAGTTCCAGAACCTGTACAGAACCTTGGTTCATGGTTTGCACCTCTTGTTCCCATTGTCCTGTATCAGAGTTTACCCATGTCACTGCAGCTTTCCTGGTCCATCTAGATGCGTCAGTAAAAACTGTGAGGCCTTTTACTGGTTCATGTTTGCATCTGGTTGTGGCTTTTAAGGGCAAGTTACCCATTTCTGCCCAAAGCAGACCTTTACCTTTCATCTTCGTTTTCCATTCAAACCTTTCTATGATCAAGGTCACAAACAAACTTCAGTGTTTGCCTAATCTTACACACAAAATGATCCAGAGCTACACTGAGAGCAACACTCCCCAGTCTGGATTGGCAGGAGCTAGCACAGTGTGATGGCTGAACCAGGCAAGCACAAATGCCATGGAAAAGGTGTACCTAAAACATTTTCTCCCACATGGGTCTATTTTAATGCTTTAGGCACCAAAACTAATTCCCATTTTAAAATGTCATCTTTTAAGCAGGATTCAAAAAATCAGCTGCCTTCAGAGAAGGTCTTTCACAATAAAGGTCAAATTTTTGAGCACTCAACCCAGGACCTGGGAAACCCTGGATTCCAGTCATATGGCAGCTGGACAGGGTTTGAACTCACAACATCTAACTGTCTTAGCATCTTTATGAGTGTTTTTTTATAGCCCCTTTTGAATATCCACTACTGAGGACAGGAAGGGACTAGATGAAACAAAGATAGTGGCACATAGTAGCGTAGACCTTGGATTCTAATTACCTACCTACCTATATATTTTCTTTCATTTTCTGAGGTGATGTGTATTCCTGGAGGACTACAAAATGATTTCAAAGACTAAAAGCAGCAGTGGATGTGCTGCCTCCAAACTAGCCCCCAGCAAAATGCAGACACTTGGACTGGCTAAGTTCCATAGAAAACAATGGCTTCTGTCCTGTTTTCATGGCAATCTGACAGCAGCTCTGATGGCCTTTGTGCTGTTGCTGCAGGGCAGAGGGTACAGCATTCTGGATACGGCCCTTCTTTCCCTAAGCTCAGCTCGTAACCCTCAAAATGGAAGACAATATGGCCCTACAAATGGGTGCTGGCTCTGTCACCCAAAACCTTTGTTGACCTGCCTGGCCTCAGGGGACCCTGCCCCTGGCTGCTACCCAGTGGAGGACATAAAGGGTACTGTCCCATCACAGCACCAGCTATGCTTTGTGTTTTGGGTGAAGATGAGGTCTGTGATGCAAAACTCTACCCATCTGCCCTATTCTATGGGATGTTGATGGTCCTTAACTAGCCCTGCATGGCTGAAACTCTGCCAGCTTCACTGGCAGCAGGCACAGCAAGGGCAAATTAGAAGCCAAGGGGCAGTGATGGGCATGGCCCCTTTATACAGAATATGGTGATATAGTCAGGAGGCAAATGCCAATCAGGTGATAAAGAAACAGAAAATGTGCTAAAAACTTACACCGTACAAGGGTGAAAAGGGTGAAGAGTTAAGCTCTCATACCACAGCCCGCTCTTTTCATCACGTTATATGAGCTGTCTGCCTTCAAGGACAGTAAGACAAGGACAGTAAGCACCATGTGCCCTTGCAGTCATCATCTGGTGAGCTTCCAACCTCATATAAAGCACAAGGCAGCATCTTGGCAGTTCTTTATGCTTACTTGCCCAGTGCTTAGAGTTATAATTTGGAAAACTGAAATCTAGTTCACATTCCTCTTCTGATTGATTTAACTCATATCTTAACTCAGTGTGTCCTTCCAGGATATTGATAAAAACATGATTCAAATTACCAAAGGACATCTTACCTCAATTAATGCATTCCCACAGCAAATTATTTCCTTATGAAAATTCATTTTTTATTAAACATATACATGAACTTCAATATACATAAATTTCCCTCCAAGCTCCTCATGTTGTATAAACACAAACACAAAAATTCCTAAGAAATCTGCAGTTACTTGAAGGCAAATGTACAAAACCCCAGCATTATGGAGTAGGCACTGGGATGTAAGAATCAACTTCTTTAATCAAATAACTTGTATTTCTTACTCTTTTCATCAGTTATTTAAAAAAAGCCTATAGCATTTTAAGGTATAGTACACAATACCTTAAGAACAACAGAAATAACTATGTAGGCATAGAAAGACTCATCACTACTCTCAGGACTGTATATTTATTAACTTATTATTAATTTATTTATTTTCTATTAATATCTACACTCAGTTTATTTCAGTGTGAATTAAAGAAAAATTCTACAGATTTCAAAGTAAATTCATCTATTATCTTTGTGATGGTTTTCTTGACAATTATGCCTGAGAGTTTTCTGATTGCTCTAATGCAAAATATCCAGCTTCAGTCTTGGAGAGCACCCTTTTTGGCATCTCTGTTTGTACTCAACAGTTTTATTGGTGTTTATGTGAAGAGAACATTTAGTGGAGTTCGTTTTTTTAGAACAGATTCTGTTAAATTTTGCAAATATAGTTACGGAGGTATCTGGGATAACAGCTCATAATGTGGCAGTCCACATTTAAACTGCTTCCCAGCAGCAAGTGTCTGAAAAGACACCAATTAGCACAGAAGATTTGTAATGTGGAGAACTAATGCTTCCAAAAATAAAGATACAAAGATGCTGACTACTCAACACAGTAAATTTACACCTTCTATCTAACAGAGGTCTAAAATAATGGATAAGGTCATATAGGTCTCACATAAGAAATTAACTTAATCCAGCAATAGTTTGGACACACATGATTCATTGTACACAAAGCAGGCTTTCCCAGTTTTACTAAGTGACAATTTTGAACAATTCCAGTCCCTGAAAAATTTCTCAAGTAATAAAAATCTGGCTACCAGGTAAATACATTGCCTAGCTACAGGGATCCACATGTGTATGGGTTTTTTCTCTAATTCTTGCCACTGCAGGTTTCAAATGCTATTACACTGGTATGTGCATTTTACTGACCACCAAGACTGGACCACAAAATACATACACAAGGTATTTCTCAAATGATCTATTTCCTATAAAGCCTTCAGTGACTCAAAAGAGAATTTGAAAAATGTGGGGGAAGCTAAATGTTGATGAATGACAGTGTATCTATGAACAAAAGAAGCAAATTACTATCTTTGTAAAATCCACAATTGCCTCTGAGAACACCCTCAACTATAACACTGCATGCTGGTGATTCCAGTTACTGAATGGTCTTGGCTTATCATTAGGAAGGTTTTGCATTTCACAGGAACATTTTCCTCTAATTTCACCTAAGGATTAAAATACAGTTCTGTATGAAGTCTGAACAGTGCTTACAAATGACACTGGATAGCAAGAAAAAGTCTTCACAGTCTAGATCTCTGGGTAGCTTTGTTTTAATTAATTGTATGTATTTTCATAACAAGTTCTCAAGACTAAAGCAATGGAAATGTCTTCTTTCCTCTGATATTCTCAGACCTTTTGACTTTACCCTGTTGAACAGCAGGCTAATTTTACCACAGTAATGATTGCTGCTGCTATTTCTCCCCCCCCATTAGACATTTCAGTTTTAAGGAAACAGTTAATTGGAATCTTTTTGAATTCACAGGATTATTGTCACCTTCCTTGTATCTAATTTCCATTTTATCTGCTTAATTCTTCCCAGAAATGCTGTCAAAATTTTATTCATAAAATACAGAAGTAAACACAGAAGTAAAAAAATGCACTTTTACAGAATATTTCAGTCAACATATGCACATGTACTGTAAGGTACACGCATATATATGTATGCATGTAAGTACATATACAGGTAACAGTTTCCTAGGTTACTTGGATTCTCCAACTTCACTGATTTCCAGGCAAGCTGTAAGTCCTCAGTATATCCAAAATTCACATAGCCTCTGTTGCATGGTTTTAGGTGAACTCTGGTGCCTATATGTAACACCATGAACTTATTTCTATCAGTCCAAATTCTGGAAATTCAGATATAATGTTCCAATCAAGTACGCTCCCTAAAATGAAGTAAAAATAAGCTGACAGTTTGCTTGACCATAGCAAGCACTGTCTTCTCCAAACTACTTCAGATATGTCTGCATGTCCTACAAAATTTAAATATAGGAATTAATTACTAATAAAAAAATATGACTGTCTAAACATTCTGATCATTAAGACAGTTCTCTTCAACTACCATCAGCAGCAAATTTTAATCAGAAGAACCTTTGGTTTGTTTTCTTATCCCCAAATAATTTTTAGTTCTAGTGCTCCTCATTTCACCCCCTGGTCACTGAAATTTTGATTGGGAGATTCATCACATGAAGGATTGACAAGCACTATTCAGAACCTGCTTTTCCAGGGGAATATGGTGCTAACAGCATAGCAAATATTTACTTTCAAACTCTATATTGCTAAGTTTGACTCAGTTCCTCCCTCCGTTGCTATCTCTTTGTACTTTTGCTGTCTGTCAACTTTAAATAAGCATTTTCTATGCTACCAGGAAATACTTTCTAGTAATTACCCAATTAAGGTTAATATCTTCATTTCCTTCTGGTTTGGTGGCAGACCCCTCTTTCTCAAACAGCCATTACTTTTCATTCCCTAGATACGTATTTAAAGTAGCAAGAGCAGGAAAAGAAAAGCAAGTCTATTACTACCAACAACTCACCTAACGCCAATTTATCAGTAACTCTGAATATACACAACTTTAAACACTTTCAGCTTTTTCTTTGGGCAAGTGCATTTCCAGATCAAGTAAGCTACAGCAAATACCAAACTGTGCATGATTCTTCATATAGCTGAATTACCTAATATAACTCAATGATCTAATATTTCGTGTTTCAATCCTGATAATGTCCTCAAATATTTCCATTTCATTTCTCTACATTTTTATTACTCAAAAACATACAGCACACGGATCAATTACTTTGATTTTTTAACAGTCTTTATAGAGTCAATAGAAACAACTGTATTTAGAAATTCTACTTTTTCATTGTACGACACACTGTTTGTACCTGATAATTCAACAACATCACTGAATATATTGGTTTAAATTAGCTGAAGTACTGCTGCCAGCAACTCAGCTTGTTTTATTTACACCTAAGCAGAGAAACTATTGCCTTCAGCATGAGAAATGTCTTCAAAACTGTTGATGTCCCAAGGCTCCTTTACATATACACATAGATCACATTTGATTTGGACATATTTAAAATTTATGTAACAATGCATTAATAACTGCAGTCTTAAAACATTAGCATGGTTAGAATTACAAAATAGCCACAAAAATGCTTCAGTGCAACACATCTTACTTTTTCTGACCTGGTTGACATAGCTCCAACCATGGGATTACAAAACGATAATGTCAGAATGTAGCATGCAATCATCAGCTTCAAAAAATACAAAAATAACACAGTAAAAAAATGATATTTTGATAAATTGGTGGAATATATGAAAATTAAAATAGGATATGATATATAAATGAAAAGTATGAAAAATAAAAGTAAATGGCAATGAAAAATGGTATGACTTCTAAGAATCTATTTTTGTCTGCTTTTTCATGTAGATGTTAAGCAAAATTTGATTATTTGTAGAATAAACTTACAGCATCAAAATGAAAGCAAATACTGATTAAAATATGGGACTTTGTACTTCACAGATAGGCTTAATGTAAATAAATAAATAAATATCTACTGACACTTTTACACTGTGGCACGCAATTGAATTTTTGTTTTAATTCATACCTAAATGTTCCTGTGATTGAGTCGTATATTTTTTCTTCAACTTTCAGTAGAGGTTCTGTTCAAGGAAAAAAAAGAAAACATAAAACTGCTTTGAGAGGATACTATATTGGGTGTGACATGTAAGCTTGGAATCTAAGTAAAAGCTTGGGATATTTTATATTTTAGGCTACTCTGGTGATTCTTTACAGGCATTGTTTGGAAAATTAGTTCTTCTAATAGAGAAGACATTACAGAAAATATTAAAAAAAAGTGACAACAAATATGGTCAGAAGAAAATGGTATGGCAAAATCGTAAATTTGCAAAGCTCCTAGTAATAGGAAAGGGAGAGAAAAAAGAATAATTATCAGTGGCAGCAGATTTGAGAGGCAAACCTTGACCTCCAACTCAAACATTTCAAAAAGTCCGGATGTTTTGCATCCATGAGTCCGAGTAGCTGAACTGTAGAGAAGTGTCTCTTGGCAAGTGTCAGCCTCATTTCTTTGTCAATCAGTGGAACACAGAGGAGAGAAAGCTGAGATGGGGAATCACTGCAAATCATTGCATGACTTGTTACGGCAACGTCCACTGTCACCCCTGTAAATTTAGGAGCTTGTGGGAACTGGTGAGCTTAAGTCATCCACTCACTTGTGTCTCTGACCTTATACATTCTACTTCAGCTGTATGATCTTACTCTTAATGACTAACTACTGTGCAGTTCAGCTCCAAGGTACTCCATATGAGTAAATTCATTAAAATTCAGCTTTAGAAGGATTTAAGATAGTAAAAAATACACACATATTAATGAAAATATTTTCATCACATTAACAAAAATACGTGACTAAAAATCCAGCATGCAGCATATTCTCACAGAAAACAAATGATATTAAGAAGTTGCTGTCTCTTTTTGTTGGTGGTTTGTTTTTTTCAGGATTGCATTTGCTGAAGTGCACACACTGTGTGGGAAAAACAGGGCATGCAGCGGATGCATTGAATTGGCTCACTGAGATGTTTCAGAACATAGTTGTGATTATGGAAGAAGCAGAAATTAGAGTTACTCTAATGGGACTCCCAAGGACTCTTGGTGAAAGATTATTTAACATTTTTATTGATTAATCAGTGATATTCATGTAAAGCTTGCTATTAACAAAGAGATGGCTTTAATAAAGGTTGGCAGTACTTTCCAGTTATACATCAATTTGATTTGCCTTGCAGGCAAACAAAATAATTACACTGTAGCTAGCTGCACTATAGTACATCTGGTGAAAAAAGGATTCTGGCTACTTATGTTAAAAAATGCCTTGGAAAGCAGTAATCACAGCAGAATATACAGGAAACTGTCTGAATAGGAAACCTTGATGAAATGGTATGGCAAAAGGGATTAGCCCGACCTTTTGGGAGTTTGTAAGGGTAAGACAAACTAGAAGGTAGGAATTTGTCTCACCTTTGTACATCTACTACTATAACACTATGATTTGCTTGCTAATTTGGTGTATCTGCTTACAACATCAAAATACTTCAAAGTGTTCAAAAGTGTGCCACAGAAAGTGATCTAGATGCTGAAAAGTTAGCATTGTGGTAAGTGTCTTAGGGAGCTTGGGATATCTGGTTTGCTGAAGAGAAGTTTCACAGCTGATGTGTGCCCTGGTATCTGCCAATGGAAAAGATATCCAAGAATAGGTGCCAGCCAGTCTCCATGAAAAGACGTAGTAAGATCCAGTGACTGGAATTTTAATTTAGACAAATTTAAAAGAGATACAATTTTTTAGTTGGAAATAAGTCACATTGCTGGCTGATCCCATCACAAGTCATCAAATCACGTATAAGCTAAAGCCTTGAAATCTATGAATGTATCAGTTCCTCCATTTTTCTCTTTCCCTTGTGCCACATGATAAGAATAGTTTCCTGAATATACCCAATATATCCAACATTATGCCCAATCCGATATGCTGGAATGGTTTAGCCTCACTGAATTATTGGGCCTTGACAAAGAAATATCAGTGCATTGCCAATAGGACAGACAGGTCACAGCACATGTTCTAGCCTTACACTTCACAAAAGCATTACCCAATATATAGAATTTAAAGAACAGAAAATTAAAAACTAAAATTACTTAGAGCTATCACTAAGTTACTGACTAAATCAGGACACTTAAGACAGGCTATATCTCCTCTAACCTTATACAGCTGTGGTCACAGGCTCCTTTTCCAGTCAACGGAGAGAAGGGGGAACAGTCTGCCTGGAATACTTGACATCTATCTGAAAGTGAGCAATATCATACAAATGTTTACAATGTAGGTCTTAGGTGAGATGAATTCCAGCCACACACCTCACATTTCTCATGGTAAAATCAGGGAAGTATAATAAGCTACATTTGTAATATGTTACTTGGTATTAGGCAAGTAACTAAGTTCTCATAATGTTAGGGCTCTCCAATTCAAGGCCTATTGGTACAGAGAAGCCCTGGCATCAGACAGACTGTGAGACTACAAGCCAGTGTCAGCACTAACAAAATGAACATATAAATTTCAAAATAAAAACCATGCACGAAATCTAACAATTCTTTTGGGATGCAGCTGCAAAATGTGCTAATCCAAAAGGTATTTATTTAGGCACAGGCAACACTAGTTGACCCTAGAGGGAAGACGTGGCCTTGGGAAGCACAGGACAGGCATAAAGAGCCCTCAGCTGGGCAGGGCAGGTTTCAGAACCCACACTTGGCAATATCCGAGTGTTACTCGGCCATACTTGAGTAGCAGGAGGGCTGGGGGGGCACTGAGAGGAGCCACCTTAGCCCAAGAGGTGTGTTCTGCAGCATGAAAAGGGGATTTAGGACAGGGGGCATTTTGTGTCAGTTTAACTTAAAAACCCCCAAGCCAACCAAAACAAGGGAACATCTTCAGATTCTAAGACTATCATGTCTACAGTCATGCCAAAACTTACCATACCCTGTTTTATTAAAACCTGGGAGCTGGCAGACCATGTGCCACGATGATGGGCACACCTTGGTCAAAAAAAGCTACACAGGAACGGCAGCTGCCCTCACTGATAACCTAAAGAAAGCCTGTGGCTGATCACACTGTTTTCCGTGAAGGACGAGGTGAGGAAGGCCGGCGGATAGGGAGTGGAACAAGGATGAATGCAGGCAGGGGCCGGGAAGATCAGCCTTGCCCGTATCTTTCCTCAGGAACCCAGACGAAAAAGCAACCTGTCCCTCGCTTCAAGCCCGACTCAGGCGGACAACAACCCTACCGCAAACCCCCGGCAGGAGCCTCCCGGCCAACCCCACCCGGCGGGGTCTCGCCGCCGCGGGGGCGGAGGCAGCGGGCAGGCACCTCCCCGAGCGGCGCCCCCGTCCTGACGGCGTTTCCGGGCGGGGGAGCCGGGATGTGCGTCCGGGTTGGGTCGGCCCCAGGGAGCGGTTGCCTCTCGCTTTCTCTCCGTCTCGT